GGAGTGTGCTCAGAATGGCCCTTGCCCCAAACCCTGCTTTGTATGTCCCAGGTGAGAATAAGAGTGTGGTGTGAGGCTCAGCACCTTGTCTTCCAAGTCCTGCTTGCAGTGCCATACCCGTTTCTCGGCCTCCCAGGTGTCCATGACCACCAGTGTGGTGTCCTCGCCATCCACCGTGAGGGTCCTCTCATACACATCTTCTGCAACCAAGGGAAGACTGTATCTCAGGGAGGAGGGGCAGGCCTGGGAGATGTGGGGCTCCCTAGCCCCCCTTTCAGGTCACATCACCCCTCCACTTCTCCTTGGGAGTGCTCACCACACTTATTTGGTGTGTCTTTCCTGGTAGATCAAGAAACTCCATGAGGAGCCCATGCTTCCCTGGCTGCCAGCATAGTACCTGGCACGTGGTATGTGCCAGGAAGGTTGGTGTAGTGGATTGAATGAGTGGGTGGTGGGGTCAAAGTGTGGTGGATTGAAAGGTTGGGGTGGTGAGGTTAAAGCTGGGCTGGGAACCCTCCTGGCCCCACAGTCTCTGACTTAGCATGTGCATCAGGCAGGTCATGTTAAGCTCTGGGCCTTGGTCTCCCCATTCACAACACATGCAGGTGTAAGTCTATATGCCCCTTGTGTGAGTTCTCACTCTTGGGAGTGTTGAGGCTGCAGAAACAGCAGGGCCAGATTGTCCCCACCTCTTCTCTGCTTTTAACAAACCCCCACCCCACTCACTCTATGTCCTCCCAACCAGTCCCTCAGGGATCTGTCTTCATTTTCTCTGTCCCCATATCCAATCATCCTGGGTCCCCTGGCCCTGTGAGCTCACTGCATTTCTTGGGAATAAAGCAACCCAGTTCTGGGGATCTGGGAGTCTCCACTTTAGAGACTTTGCTGCAGGTCATGGTGGCCATCGTTGGGTGTCTATGGGTCTGGGGCATCAGAGAGTCAGGGGGACTTCCGAATGGGAGTTCTGAGTTGGATGAAAGTCCACCATTTCTTGACAGTTTTCCGAATTGCCCCCCCCCCTTATGACATGAAGATGAATCAGACACATCTCATCCATGAAAATTTGGCAAATTTTCTCATTCTATTTAAGGATTTCCCTCCTTTAGACCACCATGCAGGTTGCGTCCTGCACAATCCAGGTGAGCATCATTCACTTCAGAGTCTGCGCAAATGATGCTCAGAGTTGAACAGTGCATGACTCCTACAACTGTTCTTGGCAGCCCTCTGCCCCCTGGTGACAGGCCTTTCACTCTTCTGGCCATATCCCACCCCACCCCACAAGGCCCCTACCTCCCAGCTGTTCATGGTGGTCCCGCTCTTGCTTCCCTGCAAAGAGGCTGGCCAGGCTGGTCTTCCCTACGCCAGGGTCTCCAAGCAGCACCACTCGGTAGAGGGCTTCCCAGGAGCCTTCTGAGTCGCTGGATTCAGAGGACCAACCATCTGGGGCAGGTGAAGGTTTCCGGACAGGAGGGTTGAGGGAGAATGATTGGCCCAATCGGGGATGCTGGGATTGACTGGGGCTTGCTGTGCAGAGGCGGCCAGGCTGGTGGCCCCGGGATGACAAGGTGAGTGGAGTGCTGGCTCTGCGTCGAAGGGGGGTCTTTGCTTCCTGCTGAGTGTTCAATGTCATCCTTGGGAGGGAAGGGCTTTGGCCACTCCTTCTTCCTTCCCCCTGAATGAAGCAGTTGCTCTGAGCCCCTCTGTCTGTTGCAGGGTCCTGACGAGCGGTTGGGAAGGCTTCCCCACAGTCCTCTCTTGTTTGAACGGGAGGCGGCACCTCTGCTCCTTGGTGTGGGGGTTTGGCTTCAGGCCCAGGGTAAGGTCACCTGGAAGGGGTGAGTCGGCAGGCTGTGAACACACGAACGTGCACACTCAGAGGCCATGTCCCATGCCTTAAGGATGGCCCACCCCAGGTGACAGACCGCAGCTAGGTGGATGTCCATACCTGCACCCCTCCAGGCACAACCTGCCCCTCCTTTAGAACAGGAGACCCTTGGTACGAAAGGCATCCGAGGAGCCGTCATCCGCCCTGTTCCCACTGGTCTCTTCCACACGCTCTGGGTTGGGGGTGCCCAGGAGGGTTGAGGGCCGCTGGGGGGTTTACTTCCGCTGCCGGATCCCACGGGGTCGGTGCCCCAGAAGGGCGAGAGGGGCCGGGGGATCCCTCCGGCTGTAACCCGAGTGCCCTGGTGTCATGGGAACGGCGTGTCCGGCCCGCCCCCAGCGTGAAAAATTCAGGAGCGGCTGGCGCTACGGCCTCCAGCTGTTGCTGGAAGGCGGGGGCTGCGAGCTCGCCAGGCCCCAGGTTTGGTGACAGGACAGGGTCCCGGCGGGGGACAGGCGGGGAGCCCACAGGGCCCGGGAACGCATGTGCCATTTTCAGAGGCTGGGTCCGAGCTTTCCCAGCCCGGGGTCCCGGGTGTAAGGGCCCCGATCGCGGGGCAGGGGGCTTCCAGGTCGGCGGCTCCCGGACCCTCCCGGCCCCAGGGCTGGGGACCCGCACCCCGCACGCGGTTTCGAAGCTCCCCGGCCCCCGCCGGCTCCGCAGAACCCCCCCAGCAGGCGCCCCGCGAACTCCGCTCCAACTTGGGCAAGTTGTCCGCGGGCGGCGCGGAGCTTTACCTCGGCCGGGGAGGGGTCCGGTCCCCGCCGCCTCAGCCGCTGGGTGCTGCAGGCTGGACCGCCCGCCTCCGCCAGCAGCCCCTCGGGCCCGGCCCGCCCCGCCCCGGGCCGGGGAGGAGCGCGACCCCGCCCCGTCCAGCCCCGCCCCGGCAGGGAGCCCCGGGGTCCCCGCCCCGAGCCTGGGTCGCGCTGCGTTTTTAAGACTGCAGATCCCCCGGTGACCCGCCGCTCCCAGGCCTGCGCGAGGTCCCGGTGACAGTGTCGGGGTAGCCGACAAGAGAGAGGAAGGGTCTGGATGCCCCTCTGCGTCCGCATCGGTCCAATCCATCAGTGCGGGGCACCAACCTCAGCCTTCACAAAATCCACTCCGCCGCTTGGTAAAGGTTCCGTTTCTTAGGTCCCAGGGTTTCGGGGATCTTTTTATTTTATTCATTTTTCTGGGATGCTGGGAATTGAACCCAAGGCCTCACCCTAGTCAAGCAACTCTTATCATTGAGCTACATCCCAGCTTTGGAATAAATGTTTTAAACAAACTCCCAAAAACATCCTGATGCAGATCGTTCTTGCACTCCACTTGGAGAAACTCTGTTTTGGAGGGAGGATTAATGCTGGGAAACAGCTTGGGGGAAGAGAGAGTCCTGGAAGTCTGTACTGAAGATTTCTGAATATCTGATTTTGCTGTCATTCATTCCTTTGCTTATTCACCAGCTAAGGATTACTTGGGCTTGGGACTCTGCCTTTCAGCCTATTGTCCCTTTCCATAATAGTTCATGGCTTAAAAACAAGGCAAACAAAATTCCCCAGGTATGTTGGAGGAGGAGAGTCACTGATCTTGGTAGGGAAGTTGGCTGTGGGGCCCTGTGTGTGTGTGTGTGTGTGTGTGTGTGTGTGTGTGTGTGTGTGTCTGGGTTAGTGTTACTGGAGATTGTTACTGCTCTATCCCTCTAACCACATCTCCAGTTCTTTATTATTATTATTTTTTTAAAGAAATTTGAGACTGGGTGCGGTGTTGCTTGCCTGTTATTCCAGCAGTTCAGAAGGCTGAGACAGGAGGATCTCGAGTTCAAAACCATCCACAGCAAAGGCTAAGCACTAAGCAACTCAGTGAGACCCTATCTCTAAATAAAATACAAAATAGGGCTGGGGATGTGGCTCAGTGGTTGAGTGCCCCTGATTTCAATCCCCTTCCCCCCCAAAAAATTGAAACAGAATCTTGCTTAGTTTCCTGGGCTGACTTGTAATTTGTGATCTTCCTGTCTCAGATTTTCAAGTTTCTGGGGTTACAGGTATGTGCCATTGTGCCTGGTTTCCTGTAACTCTTTGGGGTGTGTATGTGTGGGAGACCTTGGAGACCAGGCTGTACCTGTGGGTGGAACTTGTCATGGCTGAGGGGTTCAGGTGTCCAGCTTGGAACAACTCCTACAGCAGCCCCCGCAAGTCTTGGGTAGACACCAAACCCCTCATGCCTGGCTTCCTTCCGAGGCATGACCCTCTTGGCCTCCGTTTCCCACCTGTGGTGAGACACCACCCTTCCTTATTTGGGAGTGAGATGACTTAGCTTCCAGGCCAGCTCTGCAACTCAGTTGCTGGGTGACCGCAGTCAAGTCAACTCCCCTCTTTGGATTTCAGTTTCTTTATTTAAAACTGTACCCTCAACAGGTTATACCCCCACTAAGAACTTATGGTTGTCTAAAATATAAAAGGCTGAACTTGGCATTCAAGGTCCATTGTGCCCTCTCTCCTGTCCTCTGCAGGGTCAATTTTAGCCTCTTTTCTCAACAGAGCCTTGCTCCACCCACTCTTTCTGGTGCCCCCTGTCCCTTCTGCCTGGGATACCCTTTTCCCTACTCATCGTTCACAATGCAGCTTAGATACCTGACTACCAGACACGACTCCAGGCTCTAGGCATGTATATTATCTTAGTGGTGCTCATACCTTAGTGGTACGTTAGAATCACCTGGAAGTCTTCTTAAGCTGCGGTTTTGCGGGACCCACCCGCTAGAGGTTTGGAGCAGAGCCGGAGAGTTTGCAAGTTCCAGTTCAGACCAGGTACTTACTGGCTGGGGACCACATTTTGAGAATCATTGTATTGTTTCATTTAATGCCATAAGTGAGATGGGTAGCTATTACTCTCTATGAGGCAGGTTTCTTCCCATTTTTAGAGTAGGTGTCAGTGCATGCTTGTTTGAATGGGCCAGGGTGTTCTGGTCCTTTCTCCTTGCCACTGAGAAGGGACACCTTCATTTATAAGCCTTGTAAAAGAGGCTCGTCATCATTTCATAGACCACAGCTGGGGTCCCAGAGAGGTTAAGTGACTTGTCCAAAGTCTCCCAGACACTAGGGGGAGATCGTGGGATTGACTCAAGTTATGGCTTTTCTCACTCACCCATACAGGGAAGGTGTCCAGTCTCTGTCCCCAGGCATGGCTTCAGGAACTTCAGCCCCCAGCTTCAGAGCTGAGCAGCCTCTGGGGGGTGTGGCTGCCCGGTTCCCACAGAGCTGGCTGAGATTCCATGCAGCCTTGGACAACATGGCCTCATACTCCCACATATTCCCAGCCCTGCCTTCCTCTGTGGTCCATAAAGGCTGTTCCGCAGGCAGCCAGGCTCAACCACTGTTCCTCTCCTCTCGAGTCCTCCCCAGCAGCCTCCCCAGGAGTCCTGTAGCCATGGCACAGCTACTACTACTCACTGTGGCTCTCCTGGTCCTGGGTCATGTGCCACCAGGTAATGTCGCACGTGTGTGTGTGTGTG